TGTGACCCCGTTTCTCTAAACCTCTCGAAATCGCTCTAAATCGCTCTCGGCCCTCCCCTGTATGACCCTGCGAAGAGCCAGGAGCTACACACTTTTTCGAACCATTGATCCAGATCTGAGCCCTCCCCCTGGTCCTGGGACCGTGCGGCCCCAGCCCTACCCCCAGAGGTTGGAGGACCACCATGTCCAAAATATGTTCATCCAGCCCCAGCCCCGTCCCCGGTTCCACCTCGCCAAACACAGCTTTGGATTTAGGAGGGAACCTAGTGTAGTTAGCTAAATTTAGGGGTTGAGGGTTTTAGAGGCTGAAGGTGTCTAAGATTTCGGGGCTTGGGTTCGAGATTTAAGGGTTTCCTTCAGCATTGAGGCTGGTGTGGCATGTGAGTGTAGCGGGTCCTGGATTTCAGGGTATCCGACTTCATTCGTATACCGGGCCGCTGAGTGGATCATAATGGCCATCTTGTTAGTACTTTGTGCATCTCCTCTAAATATTTAGAGAAACGGGGCCAGGCCGAATGGGGTCACACGGGGATCCCCTGATTTCAACCCCCTGTCCAAAGGCCCCTATACCACAAACCCTACAGCAGCCCCGTGAAAACCCCCATAAAGTCCCACACGGTACTGTACCCTGCCAAGAAACCCTGGAATTATTGAAACCCTAAACCCTAAACCCTAAACCCTAAACCCTAAACCTTGAATCCTAATCCCAAACGGTACCCTTTAAAGGAACCCTGCAGTTGTTGGAATACAGTCGGACCCCCTGAACCAAAGGCTCCATGTACCTTTATAGTAGATACTTAGGCCTTAAGGGTGTCCCTATATCGGTACTTTAAGGCCTAAGTATCTACTATATGGGTACATGGAGCCTTAGGGAAACGACCTAAACAACCCTAAACCCCTAAACCCTAAACCCTAAACCCTGAACCCTGAACCCCTAAACCCTAAACCCTAAGTATCTACTATAAAGGTACATGGAACCTTAGGGTGAGCGGCCTTGCACCACGGGGCAAAGAAGTCGACGACCATGGCCTCGCAAAGGCTCAGCGCGGGTGGCACTTCTGGGTGAACCCAGAGAGCCCAATACCCCTTAATTCAGGGTTTAGGGTTAGGGTTTAGGGTTTAGGGTTTAGGGTTTAGGGTTTAGGGTTTAGTAATATTATAATTTAAGGTATATTCCTTAATTAAGGGGTATTGGGCTCTCTGGGTTGCTTTGGGGCTTAGGGTTCAGGGTTTTGGCCTAGGGTTTAGGGGTTTAGGGTTTGGGGCTTAATTAGTTGTTTTGGGGTTTAGGGTTTGGGGTTTAGGGTTCAGGATTTTGGCTGGGGAAGTAGTAGAATTTAGGGTCTGTAGGCCTTAAGGGTTGTTTCGGGGATTTGGGCTTAGGACTTTGGTTTTTAGAGTTTAGGGTTTGTAGCTCAAGTCAAAGATGAGACTTGGTCGCGGGCGAGGAACCGGGCTGAACAGGTTGGGGACGAGATTCCAGTACATTCCCAGAGGGTCCATATACACTACCATTATGGAATTAGGTCCCACAAGATCATCCCTAGTATGGTTTTGGGGACTTAATTCCATAATAGTACTATATGTGGACCCTCTTGGATTGCAGCCTCTTGCCTAAAACTTGGAAACAACGAACAAGAGGACAGGAGGGTAAGCATTGAAGGTATTAGGCAAGACTTCTGTTGAACTTGGGACATGGGATCCGTCATGTCGCTTCTAGACCCTCGGCCCGTAATATTGAAGATTTCTTGGACTTTTTTTTGAAGGCTTCGGAACTGAGGATGCGTTCTCTGACTTGGGTGCAACAATGCGTGGTATGATGGTAGACGCCCCAGCTTCACCCGCAGTTTGTAGAGCTGGGTTTAGGGTTTAGGGTTTAGGGTACTTTCTCTCCGCAGAGGTCGAGCCACAGCCCTTAGGGCCAAACACTAGCTCAGTAGCCGCCCTTGTCTTTAAACGTCACCTTTTCCATCCGTCCTAAACCCTAAACTCTAAACCCTTAAACCCTTAAGCCCTAAACCCTGAACCCTAAACCCTCAACCCTACTCACTGTTCAACCAGAGCTGGGTTTAGGGTTCAGGGCTTTTTGAATAGATCCGAATATGTCTACACGATCCTCACCCCTGCATGCCCCGCATGTTAATATAGGGGCCTTCATAATAAGAATCTGCTTTTGGGGTCCATTATACTACAACTGTCATAAGGAACCCCCAAAATAGTATGGGTAATTATTTAGGCTCCTACATTACGTGCCTACATTGACTACTTCTTCCTGCCATCCCAAGACCCTCGCATAATCCTCAAGAGCCAAGACATCCCTAAACCCTAAAAACCCTAAAACCCTAAACCACAAAAACCCTACACCCTAAAAACCCTAAACCCTAAAACACTACACCCTAAAACCCTAAACCCTAAACCCCCTCAGAAAGGATGACGAAGCAAAGCAGCTAAGCCACAACCTTATAAGCCTAAGAGCCAAAGCTTCCAATTTCTGGGAACCTGCGGTTTAGGGTTTAGGGTTTAGGGTTTATGGTTATTGTTTAGGGTTTAGGGTTTAAGGATTAAGAAACCTTAAGGGTCTTTATTTTGGTTCCTTATATGAACCCTAATATTTTTGGGTTATAGGGCCAGGGTTTCNNGTTTCTTAATCAGGTTCCTACATGATCCTAAAGCCAAAGCTGTAAGGTCCAACTCCGCAATACTCACAGCCTGCAACTAAAAGAAACTTCTCCTCCTTCAACAGAAACACAGACTGGAACACGCTTGAAACTCCAGCCCAGATGAAGCTGAATGAACCGCCTCAACCCTAAACCCTAAAC